ACAAATTTGGAAGCTCGAACAATTTTTGAAAGCATGAACAATTTTTGAATCTTGAGAACAAATTTTGAAATGGAGAACAAATTTGGAAGCACGAACAATTTTTGAAAACACAAACAATTTTTGAATGTTGAGAACAAATTTTGAAATGGAGAACAATTTTTTAAGCGCGAACATTTTTTGAATGTTGAGAACAAATTTTGAAATGGAGAACAGATTTAGAAGCGCGGACAATTTTTTAAAGCACGAACAATTTTGGAATGTTGAGAACAAATTTTGAAACGGAGAACAAATTTGGAAGCGCGAATTGAAATGGAAAGATTTTTTGAAACTCCCAAACATAATTTGAAATGTGAACAAAAAGAGAAGAAAAAGGAATTGAAAAATGAAATAAAGAAACAGAAAAATGAAGAAAGAAAAAAAACAGGAAAAACAACAAAGAAAAAGCAAACAGAAAAAACCAGTGAAAACCCGGTTCAAGAACCTTCTAGAAGGTTCCCAAAACCGTTCAGGAACCCTCCAGAAGGTTCCCAAAACCGGAAGCTGCAGCGCCAACGCTATCTCCTAACTGAGCCGGCCCATCTTGATCGCTATCGCTAGCTCTCTGTGCGAAGCCTCGACGATGCCAGGAATCGAACACGTGACTTACCGGTCAAGAACCTATGCCACTAGCCACTCCAGCCGTAGACAACTTCTGCCTTATTGCAAAGGTTATTTCTTTTAGTTCATTACATAAGCGCTTACATTTTTAAATAATCTGCACACATTATCGAATGTTTCTTAAAACTTTTGCATATAAAATTTAAATGCCGAATATTGTTTCAGAAACGAAAATAATTTTGGACTTTCAAACCTTTTTTATTCCGCATTTTTATGAAATTTGAATAAATTTTGAAATCACGAACATTTTTTTTATATGTGAACAATTTTTGAAAATGGAAACATCTTTCAAAATTCCAACCGAACAATTTTTGAACTCCAAACTTTTGAAAGCATGAACAACATGAAAAAAAGAGAACAAAAATTAACATTCCGAAAAAAAATTCAGAACACAAAATAAGACTCTGAACAAAATTTGAAAACATGAACAATTTTTGAAAACACAAACAGAATTTATAAATTAGAATTTTCTTTGAAATTTCCGAAATAATTTTGAATTTTGGGAGAAATTTTGAAAATGCGAACATTTTCTGGATTTTGTAGATATTTAACGAAATTTGGAAACACGAATATTTTTCCGAAATCCACAAAAAAAACTATAAGCAAGCATCTTTTGAATCTGTGAACATGTCTTAAAAATCATATTTTTTTTGCAAAGATAAAAAATCTTTGAAATATTGGAACACATTCTGAAGTTCTAAACAAATTTCAAGACAATGAGAACAAAAATTAACAGTCTGAACAATTTTTGAACTCCAAACTTTTGAAAACACAAACAACATGAACAAAATTTGAAAAAATGAGAACAAAAATTAACATTCCAAACAAATTTTCAGAACAAAAAATAAGATTTCGAACAAATTTTGAAAACACGAACAAAAATGTGAAATTAGAACATTTTTTGAAAATTTTGAACAAATTTTGTATATGCGAACAATTTTTGGAAATATAATATATTTGAATTTTGTACATTTTTAACAAAATTTGAAAACAGGAACATTTTCATACATGTTGAACGATTTTTTGGAAAATGTAATCATTTTGTAATTTCTGGACACTTTTTGAAAAAAGGAAAATAAAATTGAAAAAAGAGAAAAGGAAAAAGAAACAGAAAAAGTGAAAAAGAAAATTTATAAAATAAATAAAGAAAAAATAATAGAAAGCCGGAAAAACCAGAAAAGCAACGAAACAGGGAAAAAGAATTTTTAGAAATATGAACAAATTTGGAAAATTTTGAATATTGTTTACAAAATTTGAACAATTATTTAATATTTTGAACAATTTAGGAAAGAATAGAAAGAAGAAACAGTAAAGAAAAATGAAATAGAGAAAATTAATGGAAAAAAGTAAACAGATAAAAACGAAAAAAATAACAAGACATAAAAACAAAACCATTAAAACAAAAAGACAAATAAAAAACCGTGTTAGGAACCTTCTAGAAGGTTCCCCAAACCGGGCACGAAACTTCCAGAAAGTTCACAAAATCGCTCGCACCCTCAGCTGGGCCGGCCCATTCTATCGATCTGGTATCGGTCAGGTGTGCGATTGGTCGACTGTTTGCCGCAAAATGCGGCAAATAGGAAATTCCGGATTTTCCTACTAGGAGCTCCCGCTCGCGTGCGTCAACAGGAGGAGCTTTCGCCCAGGGCGTGCATCGAATTGGCCCGGCCCATTCGGTGGCTTCACTGCTGCGGGCTGCAACTAAATTAGCAAAAAAAAGGATGCTCAGTCAAGGAATCGAACAGGAGGAGCTTTCGCCCAGGGCGTGCATCGAATTGGGCCGGCCCATTCGGTGGCTTCACTGCTGCGGGCTGCAACTAAATTAGCAAAAAAAGGATGCTCAGTCGAGGAATCGAACACGCAACCAACGATAGACTGCATGTCTTCTTTACCAGTTGAGCTCACCAATACTTGTGATTAATGCGTTGCGAGAATATTTAAGAACTAAGCGCAGCGACAGATAAAAAAACAAATAAATTCAACCATTGAACATCTTTTTAATATACAATGAACAATTTTAAATATATAATGAAATTTTTCTAAATAGGCACTGAACATTTGTGTGATATAGGCATTGAACATTTGTGTGATATACGCTGAACATTTTTTAAGTATACAGTGAACATTTTATTAATATGTCGTGAACATTTTGTTAAATGTACGATGAACATTTTTGTAATACACGATGAACATTTTTGGAATGCATATTGAACTTTTCATAATGTATGGCGAACCATTTATTTAATATACGATGAACATTTTCGTAATAGGAGGTGAACTTTTATATAACACACAGTAAAGAGAAGAAGAAATAAAACTAAAAGAAAAAGAAAAAGCCAAAAGGAAAAATGAACCAAAAAAATCAGAACAAAACCACTGAAAACCGGACAAACATTGAAAAAAATGAAAGCAAAAAACCACAGAAAAGAAAACGAAAAAAGAACGCAGGAAACAGCGAAGGAAGCTGTAGCTAACGGAAAAAACGCGAAGCCCGTACATGTACTGGCCCGACCGGTGGCTCCCCTCAGCGAAAGCGTGACCTTTTGACGCTAACGAGCGTCAAATAGGTTCTGCCCTGTTGTCTGTCAAGGCACATCGTCAGGAAGTAGTGCATTAGAGGCAGTCCTGTACACTGACAAAGATCTGCTTTAGTTTGGAGTTCAGAGTTTGAGACTGGCACCCCACAAATGACAACCACAACATTCAAAACCAAGATGCCATGATTGGCTTATCCAATTTACTGAAAATACCAGGTAATTATAGAGCCTATGTATTTTCTTGAACAAATATATGGCCACCCACGGACCACGGTTTTCAAATATTTAATCCATGCATGGCATTTTGCTTCAGCGTGCTAATAGCTATTCCTGGAATATGTAACTAGAAATTCGGAAGTTCCGAATCAAGGACCGAAAATAATCACACATACACTTATAATATTTCTATCATTTGCCGTATTTTGCTGCAATGATTGCTTACCATATATATTTGGAATTTGAAAGGTTAAATACAAGGTGACTAATTATCAAGTACAATGTTGCTTTTCTTTATTCCTTATTCTTCACATTAGAACTTCAAGAAACCGTTGAAATCAACAAAGACTAATAATATTGGCAATAACTTATTATTACATTGCAACACCAGATTGTCTTGTGATAGCTGCAAGTAGTCTTGGCATTGAGGGCGCATCAATCTCCTGTAGACCCTCTAGAACCCGGACCACTTCACCCATCGTCGGCCGATCAAACTCATTATCTTGGATGCACCAACAAGCAACTTTGCAAACCCTTTCAGCTTCTTCCAAACTGAATTCACCGTTTAGCCGTGGATCCACCAAACTCTTTACATCGCCGCTATGAAGCTTGTTGATGGCTTGAATGGGGAAATATTCAACATGCTGGTTACTACTATTGGTGCTGGTGTTGTATGAAGTTTCATGTGCTGAATTCCTCCTTCCTGATATGATTTCCAACAACACCATGCCGAAGGCATAAACATCGACTTTCGGTGTGATAGCAACTCCGCTAAGCCACTCCGGGGCAAGATAACCCATGGTTCCTCAAAAACTTGTCAGGATTCGGCTAAAGTCCCTTCCCACACACGCTGCCAGCCCAAAGTCTGCAACTTTAGGAAGAAATGATCCATCTACCAGTATGTTCTCTGGCTTAATATCACAGTGTATGATGCACTCGCCGCAACTTTGATGCAAGTAGGACAATCCTCTAGCAACTCCTAAGGTTATTTAGTATCTGGTGTTCCAATTTAGGGCAGCGGCATCGCCATTATTGCTCACCTTAAATAGATGACTATCGAGAGAACCATTTACTATGTGTTCATACACAAGTAACCTATGATCACCTTCACAACAGAAACCAATAAGTTTTACTAGGTTGATGTGTTGGATCAGTCCAATTGAGCTCACCTCAGCCCTGAATTACTTCTCTCCTGCTTGATGGGCAACATCAAGCCTTTTAACTGCTACACTAGTCTTTGAGTCACTTAATAATCCCTTGTATACACAACCAAAACCACCTCCACCCAGCTTTTCTGAGAAGTTCTTAGTAGCATGAACTAAATCCGTGTATCTAAAGGCTATAATCCCACCAGCACTCCCTTGATTGTCATAGCTTATTGACAGAAGACTACGCCGCTTAAATTTGTTCCTCCAAATCAGTAGCAATAGCGTGAACATTAGTAATCCAAAACCAATAATGCTTGCAGCAGTAACAACTCTAAGATTTGGTTTTCTTTTGTTTTTTCTCAAACTTGGTAGAAAATATTTGGCTGCAAGGCGAAGGTAAAGGACATGTTCTGCTGTGTTATCAATGCCTTCAGCTAGAATTACATTAAGTAATTCCCCATTCCAGACAGAACATCTTCTATTGTTATAGGAATAAGCAGTGCAGGAGCAGGAACCGAGACAAGCTTCTTCACATTTTCTTTGGGTGGTAGTATTGAGTATGCTTTGCGAGTTGTACGGATATTGAACTTGAGAAGTGGGGTGGAATATGTCTGTTGAACTTGTCGTGTTTCTCTCATGAGTCCAATGTAACAGTGTATTTCTAATGCATCCTCCAGTTCGATCATCAAACTCCCAATCATATGGTGACTTCTGAGAGAAGTTCTCCATACAATCACATGATTGATTTGGCTTGCTGCTACATATTGTGAAAGGCCCACAAGTTGCAGGCGGATCACAAGGATTGTCAGGTTGGGCATATATGGTTTGCCAAGACTTGCTGGCTTGCGACCAAAGGTTCAACTTTATTTGGCCAGAGATATCTAGCAAGACAAATGCGGAAGGCGATGATTCATCTCGTAAAGTGTACATATAGTACTCCTCTTGGTTGTTGTCAACATAATTTACATCATCAACTAACCCTTTGGTCCGAGGATCCAAATCTAGGAGTGACTTGAGTACTGGTAAGAGATTCAACGATGATATTGTGGAGGATGCATAACGCCAATACACCATTGAGGGGTTGTTGCGGCGCTTGAGAATGAATCCGTTGGTGTCTTGTAGTTCAATGTTGTATGAGCCTACACCGGGATCAATGAGGCTCTTTTTTGAGATGAGCTGGTGGCTAAAACCAGTGATCTTGTTCCTGCCAAACTTGGCGGTAGGAAGCAAGAGATCGGTTGGGTAGTCAAAGCTCTGCCACAACATCGTATGTTGAGATGTGAGGGCGAGGTTTCCGGTGTTCAAGAGAAGGGCAGCACGAGGCCTGCTCCGGTCCCCCCCCCTAACCTAATTTCGGAGGGGTATTTTTGTCCCTATGATTTTGTTTTTTTTCTGGCCCGCCGTAGCCCAGATCCAAGCCCTGTCTAGCCCTGCCAAGCCCTGTATAGCCCAGACCGTATACGTATAGTACCTGGTCCGAAAAAAAAACATCACACGACCCCACGACCACGTAGGACCTGCCGGATCCAATCATTCACGCAACTCCATCAATCTTGCGAGCATTCACGCAGCTCCATAATTCACGCGGTAGATCTCCAGTAGGGCGCGTAGGGCTATCTCGTCGCCGGCGATCTCGTCGGACAGCGGGCGCGGCAACATCGTGAATCTCCAGCGCTCACAGGTACCGCATCCTGCATCCCCCCACACCCCTCTAGTCTCGCTCGCGGCAACATCGAACGAATTGCCGCCGTCAGAGATAGTGGTTAGCCTAGCGGGGAAGGAAACCTACCTACCCGGCGGCGTATGCAATCGTGGATCTTGTTCCGGTAGTGCTGCTCCTCGTAATCTGGGTTTCTTTAGTGTAGGGTTCACGTAGTGTCGGTAGCCGTCGGCTGTGTCCACCAGGACTATCATTATTTGATGTGGCGGCTAACCTAGGTATCCAGCGGCAGAGGTAATCACAGATCTAGCTAGGTTTTGTAGTGCTGCTCCTCGCGATTGAAAGTGATCACTACGGGTGTCGTGGCCATCTTCCTGACTTGGTTTGGCAGATCTGAACGACCTCGGTTGGGGTTGTTTACATAACATCCGTGATCGTGAGCTATGTGTAGATATTTCATCATTGATAATGTTTACATCATTTGTTGTAGGAAATGGCGGACGAGGAGTTAACTGATATGATGGTAGACATGGAGTTTGGAGAACTGATGAAAGACTGGATAGAAGATTGGTCAGATGATGAAAATTCAGATCTTGGAAATCAGTCAGAGAATGAGAACGAATGGGAAGATTTGAATGTGAGTGGCATTACCATGTTGTAATTTTTTGGTGCCATCCTACAACATTATATTTTTGTGTTGAAAATTTGTAGATGGATGAGCATGATGATGGTCAGGAAAACAATTTGGAGCTCTCAAATGAAGATTACATTAGTCAGGTACGTAAGTGAAAAATTTTATTGGCATGCAAATTGAATTCATTCTGGAATATTATATGATAAGTAATTATGTATTTGTGTTGTATTTTTCAGTTCATTTTTGAATGTCATAATGCGTACGACTATTACGGTGAATCCGACGCGGAGACAGGCCTTAATGACGTATCATCAAATGCACCTGATTCTGGGGATTCGCAGTCGTCGGTCACCATCAGTGAGGTATTTGTGTAATCAATGTTCTATGAAAGTAATGTTAAACCATACAAAATAGTTTTCATGGCTATGTTTTGATTGTGTAGGTGACAGAATATTGTGGCGTAATGAATGTCCAAGATACTGCCAGTGCAGATGATAAGAGGGATATGTTCATGCAGATAATGGACATGACTTTTATGACTCACGATGCTGCGTATGATTTCTACAACAGCTATGCTAGAGCTAATGGTTTCAGCATTAGGAAGAATAAGGCCAGGTATATCAAAATCGAGGCACATCTTATGCGTTATAGGAAGTTTGTTTGTTCCAGACAAGGGAAACGTGACAGCAAGTTGCTAACCGAGGAAGGGCACAGCCGTCGGCTCAGAGCCAAGACACGCTGATTTTGCGAAGCACACCTCACTATCAAGCTTGACCAAAAGCATGGGGTTTGGTATGTTGCATGTTTTGAGGACAAGCATAGCCATATGTTGGCAGGACCGGACGAGGTACCTTTTCTTTGGTCCCACAGAAAAATCAAAGAGTTTCAGAAGCATGAGATAATGTCCATGGGAGCTGCAGGGATTAGAATTCACGACATGATAGATTCCCTCATCAGCAAACATGTATGGTATGGCGGTGTTGGTTTTACCAGGCGTGAAATATACAACCTTTGTGCCAGGGAGAAGAGGAAGCTGCTTTCAAAAGGTGATGCTGCCACATCCATAGGCATCATGGCCAGTAGGAAACAGAGGGATCCTAGCTTCTTTTTCGAGTACATGCTAGATAAGGAAGGACACTTGAATAGGATGTTCTGGTGTGACTCCCAGTCTCGTCATGACTATGAGGACTTTGGCGACGTGCTTGCATTTGATAGCACGTACAAGTGCCATTCATACCTTTTGTTGGTCTTAACAATCACCGGAAGACCACTGTTTTTGGTTGTGCCATAGTTTCGGACGAGACCGAACAGACATACGTGTGGCTGCTGCAGACTTTTTAGAGGTCCATGTGTCAAAAGATGCCGAAGAGTGTAATCACAGACGCCGACGCTGCGATGATCAAGGCAATTCGCGAAGTCTTGCCAGACGTGTGGCACCGTATATGTACGTGGCATATAGAAAAAAATATGAAGATTCACCTCAGTCCCAAGTCCTTGAAGGAGTTTCGAACCCTTCTGTACTACAACACGTCCACGGCCACGGTTGAGGAGAGATGGCACGCGTTTACCATAAGATGGCAGTCGAAAAAAACAGTAACATGGTTGAGACGGATGTATAAGAAGAGGAGACTGTGGGCCGCGGCTTATCTGACAGATGAGGTTTTATATTTTTTTTGAATTTTTTATTAATTTATAATGCCCTCTAGACTGACTGGTGAAAACATCAGTCTATACCTCAGGGGGGCATTGTAAAAAATTCTTTTTCCAAATTTTCTTTCATAGCCATGATTGGCACATGTGGGTCAACATGTTCAAGAAAGTTTGTCTGATTTGGAGGTGGTGGGAAAATCACATTTTTTCAAAAACTGGCCCCTCCGGAATGCGGTCATTTTTTTGACCACCTCGAAATGACCTCAACTTTTGCACACATGATCTATTGCACAAACGAAGGTGTGTTCCAAAGGTTTTATATTTTTTTGAA